GCTGAACCTGAAAATCACCTGTTTTGACTTTTCACTGTTTTAACAGTGCTTTTTCCTGTACATTAAGCTTGGGCACTAAGCATTTGTAGCACTGTAACTGGAGTCAATAAAAAATAAACACCATGTCTAGAAGCTCTTAATCAGTATTTCACAGCCACATTAGCAACTCTGTCCCCCCCCTTGTCCTACCAAAAGCATACATTTAGGAAGGCAGGATATTGCTAACATCATCCCTTGCATCCAATTCAAAGGAATGATACAATTTATTGTACTCCTCCTTCTTCTTCTGTGAAGAAGAAAAATTCCTAAATTTGTTGCAGGCTTTTTTTTTTTTCCCTTTCAATTGCTTCCTCCTCTATCTTTCTTTAGAGAAAAGGAAAACATCAGAGTATTTGATTGTAAACAGCATGTCTCCTTTGCCTTTAATGTTTGGGGTTTTTTTTTCATTTCAAATGGATAAATGAGTTCAAATAAATTGCATTCTGGGTGGGTATCTTTACACTTTAATGCTATCAGATATGGGGGAGGGAGGACACCAGCACAGACTGCCAGCTTCATTCTTTATTGACTGATTCCAATTCTGGAAGGAAGAGGTCTGTATGGTCCTCTCTTCCCACTCCTAATTGGAGTCCTTCAGCATCACTGTGGTGGATTTCTAGTCACTTTGTTTCCCTAAGGCATAATGTAAAATTTTGCACTGAGGGGCAGTTTGTGTTACTGTAACATTACTGAGTCTTTCTTGCTGCCTGTGTCAAGGATTGAACTTTCCAAATTATGTATTTCAGACGTTGAGAAAGAAAGGACTTAATGGCTGTGACAGTCCAGACCCCGATGCAGACGACTCAGTAGGTCACAGCCCTGAGTCTGAGGACAAGTACAGAAAAATTAATGAAGATATTGATCTAATGATCAGCAGGCAAAGATTATGTGTAAGTACTCTGAGATCCCTTTCATTTTTTTTACTTTTGATATTTCTCTGAACCTGGCAGGCATTGAACAAGAAAGAAAACAAAGGTTGTGAAAGCCCCGATCCTGACTCCTCTTACGCTCTCACCCCACGCACTGAAGAAAAATACAAAAAAATTAATGAAGAATTTGATAATATGATCAAGAGCCATAAAATACCTGTAAGTACCAAAGGTTAGATGGCTGTCTGCTGATAACTGCTGCAGTAACAAACCATAACCCTTTCAGTTCTGGCTTCTTAAGGAAAACATTTCAGCTGGAAACAGGCTTTAATAGCCCACTGTATAATTAAGCACTGTGGTCAGAAAATTTCACACAACATATATTTCTTCCAAGTCTTTACCTCTGACACACAGACAAAGCCTACTATAGGTGAAACCTACAGAAGGAAGTGAAATACACATATATACATTATATTCACTTGATTTACAGAACTGTTCTACCACACCACTCACCTAATTTGTATCTAAAAAACGACGATGGAAATCTTACTTTGTGGACAGGCTAACAAACCCACAGAATACTTTCTGTGGTAATACAGAAAAAAAAAAAAAAAAAAAAAAAAAAAAAAAGAAAAACTGAAATTCCTTTATATATAGTAATTAACGCACTGTGTGCGTGTCACTTCAGTTCTCGTCTCTGCTAAACTCAGTTGCAGCACTGAAGGGTTACAGCTACTTGCTCGCTGCAGAGAAACAGACTGCATGAGAGCCTAGTGGTAGGATTCAGACATGTTTGTGTGTTGGGGTGATTTTACAGCTTTACCAGAGAATTTGCTTTGACCTCATCAGCATTTCTTTAATGCTTTAACGTGAGCTAAATTTTGTTTTAACCAAGTCAAAATTTCTAACCATCAGTCATATGCCTTGCCAGATATCTAAGAGAAATAACTCTGCATGTGCTATTTTGTTTGCACAAGACATAGAAGGAGAAAATACTTTTTCATTATGTTTGATGTTGCATTTATAAGGTCAACAAAAAGAACGTGAAGGTTTGGAGGTTATAATTTGTCCTCTCTTCCAAATGTATGTGAAAGAGAATGTAACACACCAAAAAACTGTCCAGGTCCAAGGAAACATCTGCATTTACATAGATAGCTGCCTGGTTCTAGAAGAGGTCATTTGGATGTGTTCATTCCTCATGCCCACATGTAGATTTTATGGTTAGCTGCCAAAAAAAATGATATTGGTGTTCCCAGGTTGAGCAAAGTCTCTTCTGTGCTGCTAGCCAATTGTGTTTGCAAAACCTGATACCTAAGCTGAGAGTGCCTTTTAAGGTGGCTCAGATTCTGTCTCATGCATTCTGAGTCTTCTTTCCATTATTTCTTTACAGAAAGATTTTCACTTGAGTCAATCAAAATTTGAAGAAATTCTCACACCATCACAAATGTATTTTGGGGGGGGAAATAAAAAAAATTTAAAAAAATAATTTCCAGAGACCGGAATGGCACCAAACTTTATAAATTAGTATTTGGAATGGCTGATTCAGGATGCCCTTGTATACATGCCACATGAATGAATACATGCCACAAGATGAATCCATGTATACTGCATCTTTTTTACCTCCCTTTTATTTGCTTCTTTTGCATCAATATTTTTCTGAGGAGAAAAAAAAAAAAAAAAAGCTCTAAAGTTGTCACCATGAATTAGGTTTCCTAGGATGGAACTAAGTTTGACAAACCATGACTGCAGCATTTTGGGTGACTGGAATACTTAACCCTTTTTCACCTCAGAATCTTACAAATTGCCAATCCTTTCCTCTTTCAAGGATGACCTTTGGCTTGTTCAAATCAAAGAAACAGAATTTTCAATCAGATAGTATTTAACCAAGCTTTTTCCACTTTAAAGACCGTATTTGGGGTGGCCCTTCAGATCCTCAGTTTTTCTCATGCTACCTGTTTTTGTTGCAACAAAGCAGCACTTTAAAACCATTTTGAATCTTAAAAGTTAAAAAAAAAAAAAAAATGGGAAAAAAATCCTCATTCCTGTGATAGTGAGTTCTATCACTTTTTGATTTGCATAAGCATTTTGAATAAATATCTTTTCTATGAAACTAGGGAAATTCTAGGAATTAGAAACAACACAGTTAATCAAAACATGGTATGTCACTTTTGCCCTCCCAAAAATTAATGGACTTTCCCTCTGGTTGCTTTCATTAAATTTAACCTTTTGAGGTCAAGTATAGTCCTACCTCAGTTATTAACTGGGTGATTAACTCAGCTTCCTGGGCTGTATTTTGGGTATAATGTAACTTCCTACCTTGAGGGGATGTTACGGGGTACAATGTATTCTCTTTTTGTGAGATTACTTCAGGGATGCTTCAGAGATACAGAACTGCAAGATGTTAGCATTTCTTTTTATGTAAGAGAGGATATCCCTTGTTTGAACACTTGGCATGCAGAGCTCAAGGTCTGTGTGCTTCCTCAAGCTACTTAGCACAAAAGGAAAAAAATTAGTAGGAGTTTTCCCCTAAAGCAACAGGATTCTCTTCTGTTGGTGTAGCCCAAGATGTAGCAGGCAAGACTGAGCTAAAAGACAGTACATAATGGAAAATATTAAAGATAATATATTTTAATATATATGTAATATATACAAAAATATCCTTACTGTACAAATCAGTATAACTTCAGTGAAGTCAGGGAAGTTATGTTAATTTACTTGTGATCAGCAAAGGTAGCCAAGAAAGTTGTAGGCAAGAAAGTAAAATGGAACAAAAAGTCACCAAATCAAGTCATTAAATCACTACTTACAAAATATATAAAAGAATGCAATGCCTCTGCCTGGTCTTGTAACAGCATAAAGCTGCTGCCAAATGAAAACAAAATTGGCTTTTGCTCACAACAGCTAAGGCCAATAATGTTTCCTCAGATAATTTTCTGGGGATAAGTATTTATATTGTTTTAAAACATCTGATAATAATTAGGCATTTATTTGTAGTTTTCATAAGAGTGATGAAAGCAGAGGAGACAGAAATAGTCCACTAGAAGGGAGCTATAAGTATCTCTGTCTCTAAATAAATGAAGGCCTGGTTGAACATGGGAAGGATAAAACAATATTTAACACAGAATGTTTGGCCCATTAATTGCTGAGGGTTTTGAGTCCCTAACATGCTGCTTTGCATGATGTGCCACAGCTTGTGGAGCACAAATCTGACACAGTATGTGCTGTGCACTGGCCATTTCCTCTCAGGTGAGCCATCTGCCCTCTTTGGCAATGGTGTCTAAAGGAGAACAGACAGAGGGGAGACAAAAAAACCCCACACACATCAAAAAAAAAGCAAAATGTGGCAAGGTGCATGCACATTAGAGTAAGGCTACACTATCCTAGTAAATCAGCAAATGGCAAAAACGTACCAAGGCAGCAGGAGGTGCTTATCTTTGCCCTGAATTGTTTGAACAGTCCCTGGCATGCTTTTGGCACTGGCCAGATAATGCTCTCCCAGGCAATTTCTTAGCTCTGTTTTGTAGTTAGCCCAGGCCAGGAACAATTCCCAATTGTCAGTTTATATGTAGTCATGATGTTTTTGAGGTTGAGAAAGCTTAATGGTATGGAGATGGACTGCTCTGTGGCCTCAGATGGCCTCAGTTCCTAGGCAAGTTTAATTTACTAATATAGATATTACGCAAGTGCATCGTCAGCTTTAATGTCCACCAGGCCTAGCTGGAATAGATACACCCTGTGACTTGCTACCAGGAATGACCAGGGAATCTGCAGTAGGTTGCAGTTCTTGGTGAACGACATACAAGACTGTAATAAAATTTGGGCAGCCAGAGAAAAACTGTAGCTAGAGACTTGCTGATTAGTACTGGTGCTTATCCAGTCAGACCTCTCTAACCTTTCGCTACTGAGGAGAAGAAATAAAAACTACTATATTCCAGATATAGTATGTATTGTACTGCAAAGCAGAGAGTGAACTCACTTTTCCCGAATAAAATTACCAAATACTCTGCAAATAGATGTATATATATCCAGACAGTAGATATAATGGTGCAAAAGAAACCCTTACTACAGAAATTCACAGAATAATTTGCTTAATTTGGTTTTGTTTGTTTGTTTGCTTGTTTTTGAAAAAGAATATATTACAGAAGGAAAGCTAAGTACCTGCTTCAGCTATGTTTGTAAGTTTCAGAGGTGACTAGTGTGCCTGGCAGCCACAAGAGCAACCAAGACTGAAGCTCTAATGTTCTGTACTAATATAGAAAAATCCTGTTCAGGATTGGCAAGGCCTTAAGATTTGCATTTGTACCCTTGTTTTAGTTTAGATAGCCAAACAGAGGTTGGGATTGGGAAAATAAACTCAGAAAACTGAGACAATATTGGTGCCACCAGCTGTCTACCCAGGCTCAGAGGGCAGATTTCACAGAAGTCCTGACAGAGGTGAAGAAGACACTGTGCAACGTGCTCCCTGGTGGGTGACACTCAATCTGACATGAGCTGGAGCTCAGGCAGGCCACTTCGTGTGCTCAGAGCCACCAGACAGAGAGATCTCTAACACAGCCCTGAACATTGCAATAACAACAGACTCCATGTTGACTGATTTATGTCTCACATCAGGCTGGAGGTGGAGCTGAGACTTCTATTCACATGTGAACTCACTGCCTAAATCCTTTTGAAAAAGCAGAGACCAGCAGCAGAAGCAACTGGCTTTGAGCTCCAGACTGCCATGCACTCTGACTCACATGGGGTTTGGGAACCTCTTTGGTCCTTCTGTGGTCAGTGAAGAGAATGTCTTGCTTCAAAACTTATCTGCAGGCTGATAAAACATTTCAGATTATGCTGTGCTAACCTGTTTGCAAGGAACCCAGACCTCAGTCGTGGTATAAACTGGTACTGCTTGTGCTGTGTGCCGTGTAACTTTTCCTTTGAAACACAAGCCACAGATGCAGCCAGTGAGCTGGACTTCAACTGTAAAAACATCTGCAGGCAAAAAAAAGGTTGCTTCTGGAAGAAATGAAGAACATACGTCAGCAATTAAATTTTTCACTGTGCAATCATTTGTTTTCATTTTACTATTTGTGAGGCATAAACATTAGTATGTTTCAGGATCCCTACACAGACCTAGCAGCTTCTTATACACTGAGCACATAGATTCTGAAGACACTGCTGCTCCCCTTCAAACTTTTTCTTAAACCAACCAGCTCTAAGGAAAATACAACCTTGGGGTGCACTTCAGCCTCTTGGCAAAGGGAAGTAAGTCCCACCATGCAGCCCTGGCTCAGGAGCAGTGTCAGCAGACTTACTCACTCAAGTGCCCTACCTGATCTCAGCCGTCCTGCTATGTCCATCTCTGACAAAAACAGGCTACATAGTGGGTTCCAGAGCTAAATTAACACCTTGAAATAAGTCCCAAGGCATTTGTGTAATGTACCCTTCACATCATACCCTGAACTAAAATCTTGCTGTGTGTTTCAGAAGTTAAGCAAAATCATTCCTCTATATTAAGAACAAAATTATGTCTGGCCCTAGAAAGGGGAGATGACCAAAAAAAGGAAGGGATAACCATAATCTGATGGTCAGGACAGTTATACACAGGGCACAGCCAACAGCTCTGGCCAGCCAGAGAAGAGACATGTGGGTGGCACAAGGTCAGGGTGCCTTGGTGACCTGACACAGCAGATTATGTGTCCAGCTCTCAACATACTCCCTCTAGATCCTTGAAGACTTAACAGTAGTATCAGCTGCCAGCAACAAAATTAAAATCTGTGATTTCTTCCCTCCAAAGATGTTACAAGGTCAGTTTAAAGAATTTTTGATGGATTCAGACCCTTGAAGATTATCCAATTTTTAAGTGGCAAATCAAAAGGTACTTCATTTGCATTCAGGCATTGAGAATTTTAGATGGAGTCAAGTAATTCTGAAAACATTTTATTTCCATTCAAAAATACAATAAATAAATTACTTGAAAACCAAGTAAATGAAATATGGAGTTCTCATGTATTTAAATGACACAGAGTTATTCATTTTGAAGACATTCAGAAAATTGCAATCCAAAAAAAACCCAACCAACCCACCCAGCAACCATCTTAGAAAACCTGAGTTGGGCTTGCTAAGTTCATAATGAGAATCAGGTACTGCATCTCCTCACACCCTCTGTCAGAGTGGTCCATAATTTAGTTCTTTTTTGAAAGAGATTCTTGCAAAGAAAAGTGGCTCAGGAGAAGATTTTGCCTTAAAGTGTGAAAAGACTATGGAAAAGGCTTCAGCAAACACCACCACTCCCCCTTCTCCAAAAGAACCCTAAAAAACAAACACAGAAAAAAAAACAAACCCACAAATAATACAAAGACTGGTGTGTATCTAAAGTTTTTGTATTTGCTACCTGTCCCTGAGTAGAACTTTGTGTCTTTTAAGCCACTCCAGGCTAAGATAGGAACTTTAAAAAATAAAAATAAAAAATAAAAAATATGGTGTTAGTGCCTTTAACATGATTTGGGATCATTCTGGTTGCTAAAGCAACATAAGCTGGAATTAAAGCTTTCCCTTTTGCATTCCACTGCTTCTAATTTTTCTCCATGCAATGAAGTCATCATAATCATGTACCTTTGATCTTGCAGTCATCTGTGACACTAGATTAAGATATCACAAGTGAACAATTATGGCTTCACAGAATGGAGGAAAAAGAAAATCAAGCTCCATAAAGCAGGGTTTTGTTTTAAAGAAAAAAAAATAAAAAATTTTCTAGTTCTTACAAAGTAAATGTGCAAGCTGCATTTAAGGAAGATGGAATTATTATTTGAGAAATCATATTTTAAAAGCCTTGGCAACTCTTTTGAAACCCTTTTCTTGACTCTTGGGGAAGAGGGTGAGAGTAAATATTTTAACCACCACCAACAAAATATTTGAACTAAATACCGAGTAACTGTACTTGAAGGCTGTTGTGCTTCTGTACTATTCCCGTCTTTGTTTCCCTTTTTTGCTTGTACAGGCTGTTCCACCACCAAACTTTGAGATGCCAGTTTCTATCCCAGTGTCCAACCACAACAGTTTGGTGTACAGTAACCCAGTCAGCTCGCTGGGAAACCCCAACCTTTTGCCGCTGGCTCATCCTTCTTTGCAAAGAAATAGCATGTCTCCTGGTGTGACACATCGGCCTCCGAGTGCAGGTAACACAGGTAGGCTCTGTTCCATCCCATCCTTTAAATGCTCTTTTATCAGCTGCTGGTGTGCCTTAGGTCACTTTAAACTGTACTCTGAGAAACAAGAACTCTTCTTTTTACCAGTCGTAACAGTTTGTCCAAAACTGCTGCGTGGAAAAATCAAAAGAAGAGCCAAAGGGTTTTCTATTCCCAATTTAAAAAATAAAATTTAAAAAAAAAAAAAAAAA